GGAGGGGGCAAAGGGAAGGAGAACGAACAGAGCCAGCTGGATGCCCAGTTGGGCTGGGACCTGTCGGAAATATCTGGCGGGTGCTGGGGGCTGTGAGGAGTTGCCTGGGGGAGGCTGGGCAGGGACTCAGGCAGGCACAAGACAAGGTGGCCAGGGTGAGGAAGGCCCACAATGCTGCACTGATCAACATGTCCCTCTCCCCCGTGATGGGTCAGTGTGGACAGGAGATTTACGGGGGGGGAATCCCATGTTTCCATCCAGTGCCTTCATCAGATCTCACAGCACTTTACTAGGGAGGGCAGCGCCATTATCCCCATTTTACAGAGGGAAACTGAGGCAGAGGGCCCTACCGGTCCCCCATACATGAGGGGTTTGAGAGGAATGTGGCTCTAATGGAGACCTATGTGGAGGGGGCTGACTGGGTGTATGGGGGGAATTGGGCTGAGGGGGAACCCTGGGGGGGGGGGCGAGAGATGAGGGGAAACTGGCTGCCCTGTGTGGAGGATGAGGGTGAATCTGGCTGGGACCCCCTGTGGGGGATGGGCGTCATGGGGCGGGGAATAATCCCACCTCTCCTAGCAGTGAATTCCCTGCTCAACATGGCACACCACGGGTGCCACCCAGTGGCCAGTGCTTGTATTGCAACTTCCCCTCTGCAGGCTCTCTAGGGCCTGCAGCAAGCCCTTATCTCTGGCTGGCCTGTGTACAGAACGAGGGCACCATCCAGTGGTCAGGGCTTTTATTGCACCTCCCACCCCATCCATTCATTCCTGACTGTCTCCGGCTCCAGCTGCCTTCCGTCAGGTCTCCCTCGGCTCCTGCAAGCGGGGTCTGGGGAGCCTAGGAGAGAAGGAAGGCATGTTAGTAGCAGGGGCTGGGGAGAGCCCTACAGACCATCGGCTTTGCCCTGGTGGAGGGGGGCTGGATGCAACACCATTATGGGGGTGCCCAGGAGGAGCCCCCAAGGCAGTGACTGCTTTGCTGTGGGGGGTGGGAAGAAGGGGATCCTCGGCAATCAGCGCGGGCAGGGTGCCCTAAGGGTTACTGAACCGATTCCATTCCCCTGAGCCAGGCAGCCCCCTGTCTTGGGGGCAGAGCTGATGCCCCCTAGAGGGGAAAGGGCCCGTGCCCCATTTCCCCACCCTCCTGAGCCGGCCAGTCCCCAGTACTGAATGTGTTGGAATAAAGACACCTGAACAGCTCCGATTCCGGCTACCCCGTCGGTAACTCTCCATTCTGGTTAATCTGCCTCTGGTTCTTACGCGCCCGAACATGGGGGGGAGTCCAGGCACGCCTTTGTGGGAGGGCACCGGGCGCTAACATGGCAGCATCCCCTGCCCCACACCCCTTTCTACTCCACTCTGGAGCAGCACGCATTTCAAGATCACAAAGTTTTACCTATTCATTGCCGTGGTTTAACATACCAGACAAAGTTGTTCGCCGCTGTGAACCGGTAACAAATGCTGCTCTCGCATTCCTACAGCCCTGGCTGCTTCCCTGGGAGTTGAGCATCCACGCAGCAGGGTTTGCGGCATCGTCCTCGCCGGTGCGTTCCACCCCAGAGGTGGCTGCATTTCAGCAGCAGGGTGAGTGATCCCTGCCCCCCCACCTTGCAAGGCATGCTGGGACCTTGCAGGTTTGGAGCTAGGAATCTGTTTCCCTGGAAAGACGCATCATCGTCATGGGAACTCCATGCGGAGGGCACCCTGCAGAGATGTCAGCGATCCTGCTGCAGAAGAGGGGAGACGTGCTGCATAAAAGGGGTACAGATAGGGCAAGGCCCCATGCCGCCCCCACCCCCGTGAGCCAGCCATCCCTGCAGGGGGAAGTGTAGGAAGTGACGATCCAGGAGCAGCCCGGGGAGTAGCTGTCCCGTTACTCGTTCCTTTCAGTGCTTTGCCTCCGGTTCTTACGTGCCCACACAGTGCAGGGTACGGGCACGCCTTTGTGGGAGGCTATGGCAGGGTGTCCTGCCCCCTCCCCCCAGGGCAGGGAGACTGAGATGGGACCCAGGCATCCGGGAGGACAGTGCAGGGCGCTCACCCCTAGGGGATCAGAGACCAGGATAGCGAAGGGGACCCAGGTGTCCAGGCAGGCAGCGCAGGGTGCACCTGTTCAGGCTTCATTGGCTGAGGTTACTCCAGGCACCACCAAAGAGACCCCACTGCTTCGTGGGGAGGGAGGGAGAGTGGGAAGGAATGAACAACCCCTCAGTTTCACGCCCTAAGGACTACAACTCCCAGCATGCCATGGCAAAGCCAGGGCTTAACCCTTTGATCACCCTCACCTCAGTGAGAAACAGGCAGCCTGCAATTCCTAGCCACAGTAAGTCAGAACATTCAAGGACACTTGGTTAAAACAGAACCCAGGAGTCCTGGCTCCTTACCCTGACTCCCCTCCCAGAGCCAGGGATGGAACGCAGGAGTCCTGGCTCCCAGCCCCTCTGCTCTAACCACTGGACCCCACTGCCTTGGGGTATATAACTCTGTCCAGCGGTACCTGTCAGGGCTGATCGAGGTCCACTGTGATGGCAGGTGTCTCAGACAGACCCCTCGGCTCCATGACCTGGAGATCGCTAGGTCCCAGCACGAGCCGCTCCGGAGTGGGCAGCCTGTGGGAATGCAGGGAAAATATAAGAGAAGCTGGAAACTATGATGGGGTGTGTGTGAGAAAAGTGATTAATTTATCTACAGTTAGTTACAGAGAGGAGCTGGGGGGGAGCCCGGGGCTGGGCTAGCAGAGAGCTGTGGGTCGGGAGTGAGGGGCACCGGCAGAGCTGGAGGGGTAATGTATAGCAGAGGCAGTCCCAGCCATGGGGAACCCCACCCCCCGTCACTGCCCTCTGGCCCCCAGTGAGCACATGGGACGGTGTGGGCCTGTTGGGGTGAGAGGGGCTCAGCCCAGAGCACACCCCATGGGGCATCCCTGTCCCAACCCCGGTGTATCTCGCACACCAACGACCATTAGGAGCACTTACCCAGATGGACTCGCTCACTCAGACACAGCACAGGGAGACACACACACACACACCCCTGTCTGTACACACATGCACACAACCACAGCCCATAGACACCACACTGACCCACGCACACAACCACAGTGCTCACACGCATCCCCTCACCCTCCTGCACAACCCACCCCCAACTACAGCCCCAGTGACACATGGTGGACATTGTGTCTATGATCATGTGGGTAGGGACCCATGTGCACAACCTGTATACACAGCAATGCATGCACAAATACAGACTTGTGTACACAACACACAATCACAGCCATAATCTACAGACATTCATATATACACAGCTAAAGAGAGAGATGTCCACATATGTATGTGCAATAGTCAGACATAACATACATTCCTACACACAAATGCACAATAGACACACAACATACTTGCATATGCACAAACCCCTCCCTAAACACAAGTACACACACACTTCTCCACCCCTGCAAACACAACCCACTCACAACCCTAACCACAGCCACACGCAGATCTGATAGCACAACACACAATCCTACGCCTAACACATGCG